TCTCGATACGACTAATCATGCTCCCACCTAATACGCCATTTTGTAACAGCGTCCATCTACCTACATGTACATGTACCTAGTCCGCCGTATTGGAACGGCGTCCATCTTGAATTTTAAATTTTGACATAATCATCGTGTTTTACTAGTGTAGCCCTTTCATTTGATACCCATATTGCGGGGGTTAAGGAAAAATATGTAATCCGCCATTTTGTATCGGCGGCCATCTTAGATTTATAATGTTATTGATTTTATTATATTGTATTGTTATCTAAATTAAATGTGTGTACCAAATTTCAGATCAATCTGACAACGGGAAGGTGCTTAAATTCCAATTTCTAATTTTGACCCAAATAAATAAATACCGTACGGGTCGAGCTAAATAAAACCGTTTAATAATCACAACTAATTTAAAGCAATTGTGAATAGACCCGAGAATACTCGGGTCCACAAGCTTTGTCTAAGACCACATCATCACCATCCATCTGGTGAGCTGTGTGTCTAGTGTCTGAGTGTCTTGTGTCTGAGTGTCTAGTGTTTAGTATCTGAGTGTCGAGTGTCGAGTGTCGAGTGTCGAGTGTCTAGTGTCTGAGTGTCGAGTGTCTGAGTGTCTAGTGTCTAGTGTCTAGTGTCTAGTGTCTAGTGTTTAGTATCTGAGTGTCGAGTGTCGAGTGTCGAGTGTCGAGTGTCTAGTGTCTGAGTGTCGAGTGTCTGAGTGTCTAGTGTCTAGTGTCTAGTGTTTAGTGTCTGAGTGTCGAGTGTCGAGTGTCGAGTGTCGAGTGTCGAGTGTCTAGGGACGAGTGTCTAGTGTCGAGTATCAGAGTGTCTAGTATCTGGGTGTCTGAGTGTCAAGTGTCTGAGAGTCTAGTGTCTGAGTGTCTTGTATCCGAGTGTCTAGTGTCTGAGTGTCTAGTGTCTGGGTGTCTGAGTATCTAGTGTCTAGTGTTTAGTATCTGAGTGTCGAGTGTCTAGTGTCTGAGTGTCGAGTGTCTGAGTGTCTAGTGTCTAGTGTCTAGTGTTTAGTGTCTGAGTGTCGAGTGTCGAGTGTCGAGTGTCGAGTGTCGAGTGTCGAGTGTCGAGTGTCGAGTGTCTAGTGTCGAGTGTCTAGTGTCGAGTGTCTAGTGTCTAGTGTCTGAGTGTCGAGTTGCTGAGTGTTTAGTGTCTGGTGTTTAGTGTCTGAGTGTCGAGTGTCGAGTGTCTAGTGTCTGAGTGTCTAGTGTCCGAGTGTCTAGTGTCTGAGTGTCTTGTATCCGAGTGTCTAGTGTCTGTGTGTCTAGGGTCTGGGTGTCTGAGTGTCTAGTATCTGAGGGTCTATCGTCTGAGTGTCTAGTGTCCGAGTGTCTAGTGTCTGGGTGTCTCAGTGTAGTCCTATTATTTGATACCCATATTGTGGTGGTTGTGGAAAAATATGTACCTAGTCCGCCATATTGGAACGGCGTCCATCTTGAATTTTAAATTTTGACATAATCATCGTGTTTTACTAGTGTAGCCCTTTCATTTGATACCCATATTGCGGGGGTTAAGGAAAAATATGTAATCCGCCATTTTGTATCGGCGGCCATCTTAGATTTATAATGTTATTGATTTTATTATATTGTATTGTCATCTAAATTAAATGTGTGTACCAAATTTCAGATCAATCTGACAACGGGAAGGTACTTAAATTCCAATTTCTAATTTTGACCCAAAAAAATAAATACCGTACAGGTCGAGCTAAATAAAACCGTTTAAAAATACCAACAAATATAAATAAGACTGGAGGCTTACCATCAGTACTTGAAATATTTGTAGGTGCAAAAGTAATGCTGCGGTCCAACATTGACGTTACAAAAGGATTGGTAAATGACGCTATAGGCCACATTACAGAAACTTTTTGGCCTCAGTTCCGTCGAATCCAAATGTACGAAACAGATATATCATCAGTTTTAATTCACTTTGGCACAGACGGCATACACGTTATTTACCCTAAAGCCATACAGTTTCCAGCAAAATTCAATTATGGTACGGCTGAAAAAAGGATGTTGCCCTTAGTTTTGTCATGGGCATTCACCGTCCATAAAATGCAGGGCAGCACCGTCGACCATGCAGTAGTATATTTGGGCTCAAAATGGTTTGAGGAAGGACAAGCATACGTGGCTCTAAGTCGAGTCAAGTCTCTGGAAGGGCTATGTATTGAGGAATTAGATTGTACTAAATTATCAGGTAAGAAACCATGTAATAATGATGCACTGAATGAATTAAATAGAATGAGGAATATTCGGTAAACAATTTCACTAAATACTAAAAACAAGAAAATAAAAATCGGTAAAAAAACTTTTAAGTTAAACGGTTTTATTTTATGTGCACTGAAAACTACAAAATAAATAAATAGTTACTTACCTATCAACCTACGTAGGTGATCTCGATATATATCTCTGATGGTAGTGGTTGTCATAACATGAACCATGTCAGCGGCCGAAAGGCAGTTCATGAGAGAACACTAACACCAGGGTTTGCTTGGTAGATAAACTAAGCAGCCCACACTATAACAAGTAGGTATTTTGACCTTCTAGTTCAGAAATATTTTAGTACTAGGCAGAATAGCTTTTAGGCATATTAGACTAAAATAAAAACGTGGGGCCCCTCTGAAATCATACCTATAGCAGAGCATATCTTATACTTTGGTAGATCATGAGCTCGGCGTTCACTGGTGAAGCCGTAACGGCTGGTTATTGATGGTCAAAACCTCCAGTTACGATTATAGTAAGTCGATTCAGCGGACCCTGGACTCCTGAGCTATGAGGTTTCGGATGCGACCGGGATAAACCGCTAGGATGATGATGATGACGAGTATAATAAGTCGATGCAATCCACACTTAGTATAGTAGAAAGTAATACAGAAATAGTTAATGGGCCCCACGTTTTTATTTTAGTCTAATATGCCTAAAAGCTATTCTGCCTAGTACTAAAATATTTCTGAACTAGAAGGTCAAAATACCTACTTGTTATAGTGTGGGCTGCTTAGTTTATCTACAAGCAAACCCTGGTGTTAGTGTTCTCTCATGAACTGCCTTTCGGCCGCTGACATGGTTCATGTTATGACAACCACTACCATCAGAGATATTAATGACCGAGATCACCTACGTAGGTTGATAGGTAAGTAACTATTTATTTATTTTGTAGTTTTCAGTGCACATAAAATAAAACCGTTTAACTTAAAAGTTTTTTTACCGATTTTTATTTTAAATACATATAGAGATATACATACGTACAATAATGTGAATATATAAATGTACATTTTAAGTTACTGATATATATTTAAATAAATCATACAAATTCATACAGATACGATTCATTTACCAGAGAGAGACTTTGTACAAAAGTCGATTGCTTGGGTACATCTATCCCATTCGTGTTTCAACCGTGAAGCAGTTGTGTTTGCATGGCTGTGTTTCGGTTTGAAGGGTGGAATATGGCGTGAATTTACAGGGTACAGAGGAATAGTACCTGAGTCCTCAGGAATGGCAACGCATGGGGGTATTATGTGTGAAACAGTATACTCTGTTATGTCCATGGTACTGCTCATGTCTATAAGCGATGGTTAGCACTTTCCACCAAGTGAACCGTCAGCTTGTTTACCATTCTAAGTTGTATAAAAAATACATATGTAGTTACAAAAATTAAAAATTAAAAAGGATGCGAGTTTGTTAATCAGACACAAATATTGTGTTACTTTTTAGAGTTGTCAATACTTATACACTAGACTAATGGAAAGTGGTAATTGTAATATATAGGCTCAAGTAAATTACCTAACCAAACTATATGACAAATAATATTGTACTAAAAATTCCGTTATAAACAAACGTTCAGGGCCGTAGCTAGACTCAAATTTAATGTAGGGCAAAAGAACCTTGGTAGGGCAGACGCCATAATTAAGTGACTTCTAAAAAGCAAATCTGCCTAATTTTCTCGGGGCCTTTAATTTTAAGGTAGGGCATTGCCCCTCAATGCCCCCCTCCTCCATAACTACGGTTATGTAAACGTTAGAATATTTTTTGTAAGTTTTTTTTATAAGTATGTACTTTCGAAAAAAAAGTGCTAAAATATGTATTTAATTTAAAATCCATTCGCAATTTGAAAATAAGTACATATCTTAAAGGGTATTAACATTGAGTGGATATAAATAGAAGGCCTATTTATAATACTTTACCAACGACATCTAGTCAATTGGATAATAGTTTGGCCTAATAACAGTCTCGTTTAAACTTAGTGGTCGTTGCTTCAAATGTTTATTAGATGTCGTGGACTTTTTTTAGAGTTCTGTATCTTGTTTGTTTTTATTAGTTTTTCACGTAAATGTAATATAACGTACTGAGGTTTTTCAGATTTTTTATACTCATAAAATATATTTTATGAGTTGCCTATACAACACAAAAACTTTATATGTATTATTAGATACACATTTATTTATTTATTTATTTATTTATTTATTTAACTCTTTATTGCACCATAAATAAAAATATACAATGACAAGTGAATAATTCAAATGAAATACAGTAACATAAATACAGATTGAAATATACACATAAAGGTACAAAAAGCGGTCTTATCGCTAGGGCAATCTCTTACAGACAACCTTTAGTTAACATTTACTCACTAAATCAAAACATTGTAGCGAATATCCATAGAGCATCGAGCCTGAAAAACGGATTAACTTTTTGTCTATGTAAATAAAAAACTAGTCAGCTAATTGTCAAATTACACGTTTTTATTAGTGTTTTATATACTTACGCACACAATGTACCTTGACATATCTATATTTAATTATTAAAATGAGTCTTTGCGCATTAAAAAGATGCAAAATTTATAAGACAAAATAAATATAGAAGTTATAAAGGAATCATAACTATGTATCATGTAAAATCGCATGAAAAAATTTACCCACTTTTCTAGAAGCATTTATATAAAGTTATTCCATGTAATAATCTAAGAATCTACTACATTATTGTTCAGTAAAACCGTACCTGCGTGTCACATCTGCAGCTATCTCGTCAAATACTCGGTCGTAATTTTTCAGCAACGTTCCGTCGTGTAACAAAGTGTGTATCGCTATCCATATTGCTTTAGTTTCGTCCCTGCAATGCAAGTATTTATTTAAAACAAATTATGGAATGATAAGCGAAAGCCTATAATATAAGTATAGAAACTATAGGATCAGCAACGCCCACATGATACAACTGATCTTGTCCTTGTATCAACATTAGTACCTACCCGCCTTGGGTAGGCGAAATCTTAGGGAAACACTGGATCTAAGAGAGGTGCTATGGAGTTAATAAAGGTGATGGTGCATCGTCAACATTTTGTTCAGGAGCGAAAGGTGTTTTTGTTGTAGGCCTTCTAAAACTTATGCAGAAAGATCATGTAGGCTAAGGCCGATCTTGATTAGTATAAATAATAAATCTCTCTATGGTTACATACCCAGAAATAGGGCATGAGCTGAAAGCATTTCTGTGTTGACTGAGAGGCGATCGTTTCCAGCACGGAGGCTCAGTTACATTGCTCTCGTATACCTGTAACAAAATAAAAAAAATGTATCTCTGAAAAAAAAAAACAGCGACCTTTATCGTAAATACACACACACACTCATATATACATACCCACACACAAACGCGCGCGCATGCACGCATAGACATACGCACACGTGTACGCGTTTACGCACGCACACACACATGCTTATGTACACAACATAAAAACCCACACCCACGCTCACACATATACACATTAAATATAGTTATATTTAATATAAGTTTTTTTAGGCTAGCAAAGTAAGAACGTAATATTTGCTATGTCTCTGAGAAGTATCATGTGTTCCTAAAAACAACGATAATAAGTTCGTTGTATCGAAGTTTCGGAGTGTAGGTATCTATTGATATGAAAAAAGTTTTATTGAAAAACAGACCTTGAATATTACACACTATATGTTTTGGGGGAAAAATATGAAATATTTTACTTTTGATATTTTAGTACATAGTAGAGATTATGTTGCGCAAAAAAATATTTTAGTCGTGACAATATTAATATGAGAATAACTCTTCCGTAAACTTCATCTATTGAAAAACAGAATTTTAAGTTAATCGGTGGAAACTGATATTAAAATGAATCGAAAAAAAGATGGAACAGAACAGTGTTACTTCGAACAAACACAGTTTGTATGAAATATACATAACCAATATATGTAGGCGTACAAAACTATACATATTTATTTATTTTTTTGTGCTGATACTTCTAGGTTGCATAGATTAATTTTTCACTTTTGCCAATATGAAAATGTTGCCGACTCTTTAAATAATGTAGTAATTTGCACTGGAGATCGTCATAGTACTTGAAATTTATTTGAGAATAAATCTGTCCATTCGCCGCGTACTTAATATTTAGACAACACATAATACTGTTTAATCGGTGAAAATGGAATGGTAACTTTGCCTACGCTAACGGTACACGCTGGCGGGGCACCGGTGAGGGATGGTAGGCAAGGATGAAACCAAGTTAGTTATAGACTATCGTGACAACAAAATTATCCAAGGTAGTTTTCAGGGGAGAGCGTGTTGACGTCGACTTGATAGAGTATATTAGATCTGTTAGATTCTTATTACTAACAACTCCTTTATCTCTATAATATTGTTATTTTTTAATGGGTGATAATGGTATGGTAACCCTGTCCGCGTTACCGGTATACACTGGCGGGGCACAAGTGATAGATGACTGATGAGGATAAAAGCCGGTCAGTTAGCCCATCCTGATGAATTCAACCAGAATTAGCCATGATGGTTTCCAGGGAGTACCACGTGGAGGTCGACCTGACAGGGTATTTCGCTAGTAATGGGGCTATTTAACCCTATTACTAACAATCCCTTTCCCCCAATATTGTTATTAAAATGTGTAATTTAACTTTAATTTCAGACTTTAAATAGTAGCATTTGTATTTTCACAATTTTATAGTAACGAGTCAGAGGTCAAGAATCAGTGTAAATAAACACATTTCGGTGTCAGACAATAGCTCGTAAATTACAAAGATAAGTCCGCAATTACAAGCGCGGTCGGTTCATAGTTGGTTACCCATCACACCGTCGCGTAATAGTTCTATTAAGTCAATAATATTATTTATATCCAATACTACTAGTATTATGTATATTAAATGTATTTTTTTATAATACCTAAGTATTATAAAAAAAATACATTTCTAAAAAGGCAAGCAAGAAAACGTTTCACCTGGTGGAAAGTGGTAATCGTTGCTATTAAACATGTACAGTATACACATAAACTCTTCTGCAGTTTCTACTACAGGTAAAGGTTCAAGGTTGCCAAAGACCGGGAAGATGTCGAACGTCCTGGTTAAAACATCTAAGACAGTGGTTCGAAATGAGTATCAGCGGGTCTACCATGAAATGAAATTCCGAAATTTCGGACTCAATTTTGTGTTTTTGTTTATACTAAAATCGGACCAATAAATGGAGTTTATACATCCTATCATAAAATTCCAAAGGAACAACATTTTAACATTTTTAATATTTCCAAACGGCATGTATTATGTAATTTTAACATCAAATTTGTGCTTTGTTCGGTCCCGAAATTTCGGAAAACATTTCATGGTAGGCCCTTTGATCATAGAATCCGCTAAATATGTATATTAAGTGTAAAATCATGTTAATTAGAGAAACTATAATTGTGACTGACAAGGAATGATGACTGAGTAACGAGCCTCAACTTGGATATTAGTATTAAATAGGTATTTAATACATATTGTTTTGTACGATAAATCTATAACCATTAGTATGTAATGTTTTCTTTATCTAAGCCATTAGTAACAATCTGGGTGAATATTCGTGATAATACTTTGTGACATATTAAGTATTTTATATTAGAACTAATAACATAAACTAGTTGTTCATTGTGACTTTATTTGCACGTTATCATCGATAATGTATTTCAATGAAAACTTGTAAAAATCTTGACTTCTCAATGATTACACTATTGAAACATACTTGTATATTCAAAATTTTATATTTTACATAGGTACCAAACATTTAAGCAATGCGTTGATAAATTCTCATTATAGATAAAAAAAATATAAACTATATTCGGTTAATATAAGTATTAATTATAAAGTACAACAAGAAGTAAATATTTTAGTATATATTTTTTTTATATTTCAGCCGTTAGCTATCCACTGCTGAACATTAGCCTTCCCCATAAAGGGAGTTTTGCCAGTAGTTGCCATGCTTGGCAGGCGGGTCGGCAACTGCAGTTAGGATTTTACAGATGTTTTAAGACGGACGCTGTTGTCCATCCCTCTACCATATGCTCCTTTACACCCACAGGAAAGGAAGCGGTGGACCATTCTATGCCGGGACCTACACGGATACTACGATATTTTAGTTATATATATATATATGGTTACTTAATGTAAATATTGGTAATACGAGTATATATTACAATTAAATAAATATGACAACTATACAATGTATATTCTTTTGTACTATATAACATTGGGCCGTTTAACATAATTAATTTATAATATATAATTTCTATAGCATTATTAATTTATATATATATATATATATATATATATATATATATATATATATATATATATATATATATATATATATATATATATATATATATATATATATATATATATATATATATATATATATATATATATATAAAGTATATATATATATATACTACTATATATATTTATATATATATATAATATATAACTGATGGTGTAACTAAGGCCGTTAAACGCTAAACAATAGAAATTGGCAGTATAAATATTATTAATATTAGGCATTGCCAAATTATTAGTTGTATCGTTTAGGAATGAGGATTTATGTATCGTTTATAAATTTATTATAACCAGAGGGAGACTTTGTACAAAACTCGTTCGCTTAGGCACCTCTGTCCCATTCGTGTTTCAACCGTGAAACTGTTGTGTTTGCATAGCTGTGTTTGGGTTTGAAGGGTGGGATATGACAGTGAATTTACAAACAATTTACAAATCCATTACAAACCTTCCAGTATTTTTTGCATACAGGTGTAGTTTCATGACAGTTATGTCATTCGTGTATTAGTATACAAAAGTATCCTATGTGTTAAGTTAGGATATGATCTATCTATATACCAACTTTCATTCAATCGTTTCAGCGTGATTGAGTTTTTTTAATGGGTGATAATGGAATGGTAGCCCCGCCTGCGCTAAGCCACCTCGCTAGCATATATCCATGCTGGCGGGGCACCAATGAGGGATGATAAGTGAGAATGAAAGGTCAGGTCAGTTAGCCTATCGTGATGAATACATCTGGAATTCAGCACGATGGTTTCCAGGGGGGCCACGTGGAGATCGACCTGCCAGGGTATATTGCTAGTATTGAGACTGGTAGTCCGTATTACTAATAATCCCCTAATGTAATTGAGTAGGTAACAGACATACAAACATCTACACAAACTTTTATATTTATACTAGTATAGTTATAAATTTTTTTTTTCCGTGGGTGTCGTAAGAGGCGACTAAGAGAACTTATTGGTCGAGAAATGGGCAGCAGCGTCTCTCTTAAAACACCACTAAAAGCCTAACTGCGGTTGCCAATCCGTTTGCTAAGCGTGGTAAACATTGGCTAAAGCCCTGCAATGGAGTAGGCCTATGTCTAACAATGGACAGATACCGTCTGATATAATAATGTTGACTGGTATAGATAAAAGTGTCGCGTGTTACATTGTTTTGCTTATATTATTTATAATTAGGTTATCGTTAATAGTAATATTATGTAAAGTTATATTTACCGTTTAATTACTTGTAGGTTAAGTAGTTTTTTCATATCTATTTGTTTACAAGTCTCATTTTTTATCATAGTATTATATATTTATAGTATTTTTATTTATATATTTTTGATGACCTTTGTGGTCTCGTCTCACGTTAAGATGGTCGCGAGTTCGTTACCTGCACAATAAAAATTCATTTCTATTTATAAATATGTATATATTTAAGTATGTATATATGTACATATGTTTTTGTACCTTATATGTTTTACTTTATATACAAACTATAAATACTTTCTTCTCTCGGGTTTTCAAGGTTGACTGGAAGAATCTCTTTAAGGGATAAGTCCGCCAGTGTACATTTTGATATAACCAAATATCTATATTATGAGTGAATGTATAAAAGCATATAAATAAATAAATTATTTTGGTTTCAATGCTAAACTACTGAACTGATTTTGATAAAATTTCTATATATTATACAATTATTATATTATACAATCGCATATTATTTGTATAAGAAGAGAATTTTCCAAATAAAACTTTTTATTGTTCTATGTATGTTTTATTATGTAAATATATTGTATGTATATGTAAACATTTAGTGTGTGACAAGAAGAGAGATAAAGAGGAATAAATGTCATTGCCATCCACTAAAGAACGATCCCTTTCAGAACCTTAGTATGGAGAGGAATATTTAAAGCTAAATTTTTATTTTATTATTAATGCTATAAATTATATCCTTTCGAATAGTCTATTTATTTATTTAAAGGAACACCAATAGCATATTGCATTACAATATATATAACAAACATTAAATATAATATAATATTGATGCACATGCCTATTATAGGTATTCACAGCATTTACTTTAACATAGTTATACAGTGCGAGAAAATGAAGTAACAATTATAATGAATTAAATAACATTAGACTACAAATATTTTAAAAGTTGCGTTATTAGTTATAGAAATATACATGTAACCTAAGTTTACAATAGTCATAAATATAGGCCATGTATATTGTTTATCGATTTGATACTTTATTTTCAATACAATAGATGATATAATAATCTCTATTTCTGTTGCACTGAACAAGTCCTCGTCGGTAATTGTTATTTCATAATGCTCCCTCGATAAAACATTGTCAAATAATAAACATGACCCTGTGTGCGTCACAATAAATGTTATTTCTATGATAACCAACATTATCTATGTTATTTAGAGCAATATGAATCATGAGTTATTAGTTATTCTTGTACTGTTTAAATAATAAGTTATTATTATTTTTAAAATATATTTACAACAGCCGTGAGCTTGAGCATGAAATTCAGATGAATTACTGTATAAGTATATATCTCTGATACATGCTGCCACCGTCTATTACGGAATGCTTAGTCCTTGGCTTCGTTTAAAGGACAAGTCAAATCACATTTTCTTTCACTGTAGTTACTCTTTTCCATTTCTCTGTAATTTTTTGACTAGAATTGTCATATTTCCTTGTGTGTTGTTTTGTATGTGTATATATATTGTTATAGGAAGTAGTTTAATAAATTATATGTGTTTGATATTTTAGATTCTTGTATTTTATGCACAAAAAAATATTAATTCCCTCTTGCGCCATCTGCCTACTTCTATCTGTTCTCCTTTATCCAAAGGTTGTCTGTAAGAGATTGCCCTAGCGATAAGACCGCTTTTTGTACCTTTATGTGTATATTTCAATCTGTATTTGTTACTGTATTTCACTTGAATTATACAATGATAAATAAATGATGCTACACATTAATCGACCATTAAGTTTCCTTAATTGCCTCTTACCACACCTACGACGGGAAAGCAAGGGATGGCCCATTCTAAATCGGGATCATACTGCAGTATAATAAATACGCTTTATCAATAAGAAGCTGTTTTAACATGCTAATTTTTTTTATACTTAAATAAACTGATTTTAAATAAATTAGTTATCGTAGGATAGGACATGACCGGAGGTGATTATTTACTGTAAATAATTAAACTACGTCTAGACGTCGTAATATGACGTCTAGACAAGGATATTTTGAATTATGTTTGTCACTAAATTATTAGAAAAATGCATTTAATTTGATCAAATAATAATATTTAGTGACATTTCTAAATATTTAATTGTATATCTTTTTTTCTGTATATCAATGGATTCAGCTGTTGGTGATTCTCGTCGCTCATGAGAGTTCGTAACACCATTGTTTGCCTTATATGCTTCTAATTTGAAGGCTTTAATGTCTACTCAGAAATGTATGTATTAAAAAAATACTGTTGCTGATTTCATAAAATTACATAATATTAAGGAATGTTTTTTGAAAGTATCTGATGATAGGTCAATATCCTTTCTTATAGAGAGTCTTATGCTCAGCAGTGGGACCTTAATGAATCTTTAATCTAATCTTAATATATAAAAATCCCGTGTTTTATATGCTTTATGTTTCCATATGCCATTTGAAATTTCTAAATGTAATTCTGTAATTTTATGGTTTTGGTGCAATAATGAGTTAAATAAATGGTCACGCTAATCTCTAAAAATACTCAACTGTTTTAAATGAAATTTTATACATGTGTGTTGTTTGTTCTAATTTTAGAGAGAGAGAGAGAGAGAGAGAGAGAGAGAGAGAGAGAGACAGAGACATGGTTTTTATGCAGATAAGAAAAAGTGGTCCGGTAGGTAAAAGTTGAGGCCAAAATATCGTATGCCGAGTTAACTAACTCTTACTAATATAATAAAGGTGAAAGTATGTTTGTTTTTTTTTGCGTCTTAACTAGTCACTATGAAATTTAGTAAACACGTATTTTTTTTTATTATAACACAATATGTACCCCCCCATCTTGATGCAACACAGAGAAGACGTGGTCCATGGATACTACCAATAGAATAGAGAATTCTACTTTTAACGGTTGGCCGCACTATGTCGTCTTACTGAGTGCTTTTTCACAATACGTTTTAAAGCTCCATAGTTATAAGTCGTTATATAAGATGGAGAAGGATATCCTCTATTTTTTATCCCGGTTAGTGAACATATCCTGGTCATGCAGACCTCATCATCCTCATCAAATCAGCCGTTAACTGTCTACGGCTGAACATAGGCTTTCCCTCATAAAGGGTGGGTTTTATCAGTAGTTGTCATGTTTAGTAGATCAGTTGGCAACTGTAATTAGCCTTTAGTGATGTATTAAGAGGGACGCTGCTGCCCATTCTTAGACTATTAGGTTCCCTTAGTCGCCTCTTACGACTTTTATGGGAAAGAAAGGTGTAGCCCATTATATACTGAGACCACACGGCAATACGCAAAAAGACAGTCGCTATTAAAAGCTAGTGATATTATAAAAAAATCGTTACCTCTCTCATCATTTCAGGGTCGAAGACATACAGCACGGGCCGTGTTCTGGATGCCTTGGCCAGCCGCACCAGGTTTCCGTACTTATCACGGAGGCCCTCAAGAAGACCCAGGCCGACGGTATGGTGGAAGTTACCTGTTGAAATTGATTGTAATGTAGTAAAAGTTAACATGTTTCTCCATTACTTATATATTATTTTTAATGATCGCATTAATTATCATTTCCTATAAACCATAAACCATGCATAGCGAAAGTCCCTTCATTCGTAGATTGAAATCTTCTACAAATATTTTTAACATTGTTTTGTCACTTTAATTCAAACTGAGAATTTAGAGCAAAAGACAGTTCACTAAACACAGTTTAATATTTAGTTGGACATTTTTTTTTATACGATTAGCCATACCTATACATTACCATGTAGAGATATGAACCATATAGCAAAATCGTCTGCTTAGATACCACAGTTTCATTCATAATTTACCGTTAAGCGGATGTATTTGCATTTTTCAATAAGTATACTATTTTATCTGTTTTTCTTATTCCAAAATATATATGAATTTTATTATTTAAACAATTGTTATCTTGTCTCTATCATTTTTTTAATATAGATTCATTAAAACAGCTGCATTAGAATTATTGAGGTTAATGTACTCGTGTGTTGTTATGACACGAACAATTTATATTATGTTAACATTTATATTAGTTATGTAACGTAGATATTTACCTGTAATGTCTTTTTAGTCAATATTATATTATACAAGTCACAAATAGGATGACAATTTGTAGGGAGGTTTATTTTTATGCTAGTAATCTGGCTCGACTTCGTTTTTGTTTTATACAACTTAGAATAGCAAACAAGCTGACAGCCCACCTTATGGAAAGTGCTAACCGTCGCCTATAGACATGAGCAGTAGCATGGACATAACAGAGTATACTGTTTCGCCCATGATACCCCCTATGCGTTACCATTCCTGAGGACTCAGGTGTTATTCCTCCTTACCCAGTAAATTCGCGCCATATCCCACCCTTCAAACCGAAACACAGTCATGCAAACACAACTGCTTCACGGTTGAAATACGAATGGGACAGATGTGCCCAAGCAATCGACTTTTGTACAAAGTCTCCCTCTGGTAAATTCCATTCCATTTTCATCACAATGAAAAAAAAAACTATTAGGTTTGTTGAATAAAAAGTTTTCAAGTTCCATTTTCTATTTACCTCGCTTAAACTGCTCAAGATTGGGAAATACACAGCGAGTGATTCATTCCTCTATCTGCCATTTGCATGTTTAAAAACAAGATTCGAGCATACAAACGGGATATATAGGTACGACACAATTTGAGTACAATATGGATACCATATATAAAATGAACAAATATTGAGAATAATTTTTATTCAAGTAAATTTATCAGTTCCATCAGGTTCAGTTACCACTTTCCATCAGGTGGGCCGTCAGCTCGTTAGCCATTCTAAGTTGTATAAAAAAAAAACTTTCCTATGAACTTATTACTTATATAAAAATAACAAAAGAAAGAAACAATATTCATAGTCAAATTTATTTATATTTAAGTATTTTTTAATTTATCAGTATATATCTTAGTTATTTTTATGATTCTACCATCTATTCGGATTACAATTTCAATTAAGGAGAACTGACAAGAAATTCAACTGTTGCTTTATTTCGAAACCTCAATTATATATTATTATTATTTAAAAAAAATCCATCCTTCTTAAGAGGAGGGATTTTTGCAAAGTAACCCCATATTATTATTGGTAAACTATTGTAAAACAATTCTGCAATTGTTTTACAAGTAGAAGATATTTATACTACATCTTATTTACTAAAAAGCTGTATAATGTCCATAACAAATAATAAAAAAAAAAATTGCCAATAAACAATTTTTTAGAACCGAATTTGAATTTTTTTTTCAAAGTAGAAACAATTATAAAAAAACATAATTGTTAAAATTTCCATAATAGCTTTACATTTAGTTGCGTCATGCCCCTCATAGGTAATATTAATAAAATGTAACAACTCAAATAGGAATAAAACAAGATATGGTACTTTATAAACCTCTGTGGTTTTCGGTATACTCTGCATATAATCTAAAGCAGGAGTTCCTAAGCATTCAAGATAATTTAAATAAGAAAAAAAGCTTTTTAGAAATATTTTAAAAGTATAACATTTTATAGTTTCCTTTAATTTTTGACGTGAAGAATAAAATTGTTTCACTGTATAAATAATTTCGCGGAACTATGGTGACTTTTTTACGGTATCTTGTTGTGAAAATAGAATAGAAACATATAAGAATCAATAAAAAAAACAGTTCAATTTTATGAAGCCTTTGAAGAGAGACACATCTCTCGTGAACGGCACCATAGCCCAATTCATATACTTTGATATCCATGGTACCGTTTGTCTGTATATCTGATTTTCTATCAAATATTTTGTCAGCTTCTTTATTCTTTTGTTAATCTATTCTTATAGAGTGTTTGCTTATTTATTTGTAAAAAACTTTACACATATAGAAAGCTATGTTGTTAGAGAGTAATATAGGCTTATATATAATTTACAAAAATTCTATCTACCCATACGAACCAACTTAACCAGAGGGAGACTTTATACAAAAGTCGATTGCTTGGGTACCTCTGTCCCATTCGTGTTTCTACCGTGAAGCAGTTGTGTTTGCATGGCTGTGTTTGAAGGGTGGGATATGGCGTGAATTTACTGGGTACCCAGGAATAACACCTGAGTCCTCAGGAATGGCAACGCATGGGGGGTATCATGGGCGAAACAGTATACTCTGTTATGTCCATAATACTGCTCATGTCTATAGGCGACGGTTACCACTTTCCATCAGGTGGGCCGTCAGCTTGTTTGCCATTCTAAGTTGTATAAAACAAAAACAAACAAATGGAATGACGCAGGCGGGGCTGCGTTATTGGTATAAATACCATTGATGTACCAAAAAGGTAACTGAGACAATCGTGATAAATTAATTTACTAAGAATGAAAACTACTACGTAGAGATTGACTTGAGCGTGAATTCTCTGTGGAAATTTGATTCTGAGAGTACATGGGCTTGACAGAAAATATTGCAACTATATCTGTATTAAGGTGAAGTCATATATTAATACAAGACTGTATATTTTTTTATGAAATATGGAATAGCAAACAAGTTGACGGCCCACTTGATGGAAAGTGGTAAGTATTGCCTATAGCCATACGAGTAAACACTATTATAGACAGTTTAATATCTATTATTCGAAATAAATTAAACATTATTATTGTTGATAGGCTAGTGGTGATTTCTAGCTTCGGAGGTGATGTTGCTATTCTACAACATTCTTACTAGTATTATATAAATGTGAAAGTGAGTTTGTTTATTACTTCTTAACGCTTCCTTCCTTTATTTTATTGCTGATACCCACCGCTCATATGACGATCTCCAATATGCGCTAATTTTATTAATTAAGCCAACAGGGGAAAAAGTATGCACACCGGGCCAGCTAGCTACTTTAATTGTCTACAACGCTTCATTCTTCTTTCAATTATAATTACATCCCCACACATTTATAGTGTAAGCTATTTTTTATTGAATTAAAAAAATATTTTCTACAAATAATGTATATGGTAAAACAACATTTGCCGGGTATATATATATATATATATATATATATATATATATATATATATATATATATATATATATATGTATATATATATATATATATACATATATATATATATATATATATATATATATATATATATATATATATATATATATATATATATATATATATATATATCAATATAGACATGGGTTACTTTTTATTAGTTACGCGGTCGAAGTCGCGGGTAAAAACGAATTTATTATAATTTATAAAATAGAAATATATTTTGCTAGTGAATGAATGAATAACATTCCAAAATATATCAGTATATATTTTGGAATGTTATTACTAGTACTGCCCGTGCACTACCCGTAAATCATTTAAAACGTTGGCTTCAGGAAAAACGTTTTTATTTGATAGGAGAATTTAAGTCAAAAATATTTTGACGCTTTAATTATTTAAATAAATGTATCTCATACGACGTTTTAAAAATTTACATGCTATTTGCTACTTATTATTTTTATTTTACTTAGAATAAATATTGTTACTGTATGAACTCAAATTATACCTATATATAAGTAAAATGTATCCATGTAAATAAGAGTACAATTTTTAACGCCATTAAAATGTGGCTAATAATGTGATTCTATAACATAATTAAGATTTATTTGAACCATATTTATGCAAATAAATTATTATAATCATTATTACTACCAGCATGTTGTCACATCATGTGCCAGAAACATCATTATCAGAAACTTTTTACCACATTTAACATTTTTGAAACGTCTTTCATTTTGTGAAGTTTGTGTTGGAAGTTTTAAGTGAAATTGCTGAAGTTAGAAAGCAAGTGAAGTGGCTACGTAGCGAGAATGAGGGGCAGACAATAAAAATGTCGGGATTTAGCAAAGTTTGTTTGAAAATTACTTTTTTTTTTACTTTAAAAAAGGTGGTGAGAAAATTATTAAATTTCACAAATATATATTTCTACATAATTTTATGAATCAACAACAATAATTTTTGTCGTTGATAGAAAATTACATTATCACCATCATGTTAGCCTTTAACTGTCCACTGTTGAACATAAGCCTCCTCTTGGAGATTTTGCCACTAGTTGCCATGTTTGGCAGGCAGATTGGCAACCGCAGTTAGGCTTTGGAAATTTTAAGATTGGAGCTTTTAAGAGAGACGTTGCTATTCATCGCTCGCTCTCCTTTAGTCGCTTCTTACAACAACCACGGGAAAGGAAGGGGTGGCCTATTCTATACCGGGACCACAGGCTATGAAAGCTAAACAATTCAATATAAATATTATTGTAATTTTATGGAGGAAACAATAATCTATATATAAAAAATAACTATCTATCTATCTGATAATTTTGTAGTTTCCTTATAGGCGGTACTTACTACTGAAGTATTATTACAAATCTGGTACTTTATTACACATGTTTAAAGGATACTGATAAACTGAATGAACTCAAAAACTGAATCTGTAACTATCAAAGTGTAAATTTTTCACGAAATGTCTAATAGTTTTAATTAATGAAATGATAAAAATCTAATTACGTTTGTTATTTACAAGTGGTACTGATGTATTATTAGTATAGTATATAAATAAGTAATATTAAAGTGCAGTGACACTATTATCATCTAACCGGTTTAATCCAGTTTCTAAGAGCTGCCTTCATTAACTTTGTAGTAGGTAGTGCTGTGTCCAGTCGTCCTTTTTTGGTATTCGATTATTTCGGTAATCGTTAAAAAATAATCGAATGAATTCGCGTATTTTATCAGACTCGAGACTTTTTCAACTGATCATTATATATATGTATAATCATTGAAGAGAGAATGTTTAATAATTACTGAGGTTGGACCTTCCTGCCAAGATTTTCCTGAAGTTACGATGAAGGCGAAGATTAATAGAATGATGAAACAGAAATATAATAAAAACTAAATTAAAATAGTTACAAGAGTATTCGAGTATTGTAATTACTCGAAACCTGTATTCGAATATTGTATATCCGAATGTAGTATTTTGTATTCAAATATCTATTAGATATTCGAGTCAGTACTCGAGTCAGCCTGACCTAGCATATCACTAGTAGTTAGTATAATAATACCCACTTTCGTTTTATGTTCACTCGTTACTTTATTTCATATTAGATTTGAGCATTGAATTCTAATTGAATTACATCCACTGCACCTAAATATAGCTGGAGTTGAGACAGTTATCTTGTACCATTTAATTAAATGTCTCTTCTATTAATTTAAAAACATATCCCGGACTTTAACGTAGACTTTCGGGCATACAGTTGTGAAAAGTGTATTAAATTTATCACTTCCACACAAAAAACGACTGGACCACAGTTGTTTTTGTGTTATGTTGAAATAAATAGATAGACAAATATTTTTTTTAAATAATACTATTACGACTTGTATAATTCTTGTTGAGACTCCTCAAACAAATTTGTCACAAATGTTTTCCATGTGTCGTAAGAGGCGACTAAGGGAGAGCGAGGGATGGGTAGCAGCGTCCCTCTTAAAACATTTCCAAAGCGTAACTGCTGCGGATTGGCAACCCAATCCGCATGTAAAGCGTGGTAACTATTGGCAAAACCCTTCTAGGGCTTCAAAGGCTGATATGATGATAATTTCTCATGTACCGAGATCGTCTACTTACAATTATTTTATATTAGTATAATACATGCTAGCAGTTTCGAAACTTTATCTTCAGGTATATTACAGAAATAGATTTTAGTTTTGACTGATTTATTTATTACTATAAAGTTTTTTTTATACAACTTAGAATGGCAAATAAGTTGACGGCCCACCTGATGGAAAGTGGTAACCGCAATCTATAGACATGAGCAGTACGATGGGCATTACAGAGTATACTGTTTCGCCCATGATACCGTCCATGTGTTGCCATTCCTGAGGACTCACGTGTTATTCCTCTGTACCCAGTAAATTCACGCCATATCCCACCCTTTAAACCGAAACACAGCCATGCAAACACGACTGCTTCACGGTAGAGACACGAATGGGACAGAGGTGCCCAAGCAAACGACTTTTGGACAACTCCTTCTGGTAAAATAAAGGTAATAAAAAGTTATATTCATTGTTTTATTTTTAAATGTATGTCTGGCGACAGCGTAGTTAGCATTTTTACATCGTTTCGCTAGTACATTGCTCGCTTGAGAGTATATTACTCATAAACTTTATACTGTAGACATATTGAGACTTTTTACTATCTAAATATGGCAGGTATAAAAATAAATTTATTATGTTGGTAGTATTGTAAAATATGATAGTTTGTAAATGTGTATGTATCTATGACGGTTAAAGGACTAATGGGATTCTATTAAAATTGAGTGCAATGAAATGAATCTTTTAAGAGTTATTAATTTATTAAATATTAACCTTATTAAAATATGAGTTTTACTTGAATTGTTACATTTAAATAATTTATTGATCGCACAAAAACCTACTAGCTGTTTGCCCTGATTTCGAACTGTTATAAGACACAAAATGGACATGTTTATTAAAAAGAAAACTTTATTTTATTTCCTATTCAATAAATTTTTATTGAGTACACAATACGACGTGAGCGCAAGACGAAGGATGGAGCTGAACTGCCTGGCATGGCATCTCACAGGAAATCCACCCGTGTTCTTATTGAAGTAATAATCATTATTGCCTAGTCAGCACAAAGGAAGCATAGCGATGCACAAACCCATTCTATGAAATGGTATAACAGCACGAGTAACATTTTTCAAATATTTATTGCTAATTTAATAAAATTGTAACTAACTAACGTTTGTACATGGGAGATACTCGTATTTAAGAAAAATCATTATGAAGGGTCTTAATAAGAGTAATAGAAGTGATAACAATATTTTTTTGTGTTTTTGCTGTCTGTATGTTTGTTCATCCTGCAAAAATTACTGCTCAAAATTAGAAGTGGTGCGTCTAATTTAAAAACTCATGCATCTTTTATGTCGTTGTTCTTTTACGTCATCTAGAAACCGAATGTAATACATAGTGTATCTTACTTTTGAAATCCACGCATCAGAAGTATCGGGTAGAAACTAGTTCTTTCTTATGAACCTTGTCCTGATAATTACAAATACAACAAGAAAAGAATTAACATTCATTCTATCATCCTTCACTGGTGCTTTTCCAGCGTATATCGTTTACGCAGTGTTTTTTTTAATGGATAAAAATGCTATTTTAACTTCGCCTGCGCTATCGGGTTACTGCGGGGCACCAGTGAGGGATGATAGGTGAAGATGAAGCAGATGAGTTGGCCCATCGTGATAAATTCATCAAAAATTATTCACGATGGTTTCCAGGGGAACTGCGTGGAGATCGACCTGTTAGGGTATATTGCTAGTAATGGGTTTGTTGGATCTCATTATTAACAATCCCTGTCTCCCCCGCAGGCAGGGTTATCATTCCATTATTGTTCAATAAAATAACATTTCTATTTGTATGTATGTTAAAATGAAATAAGTGATTGATTGTGTTACGATGTCATACTAGTTCGTCCCTTTAGTTGGACGTCAATAAACGTACAAGGACCCGGTGGCAAGGTCGAATAAATTCATGCTGCGTATCGAGTAACATGTGCGCATATCAGGAACTACTACCGAGGTGCGCGTGCGCACACCACGTAGTTACGAGTTATTGGGCCAGTGAGGGAATTGTTCGGCAAATTGATCTGTATAGCGTAGTAGTATACAATTTATCCGACTGTTAACAAAAGGAGGGTAATGTTTCATGAGTGTATATGTTAGTTTTTTAACGTAATATGTAGCTCATCAGATTTTTAACCAACTTCAAAAAGAAGGAAGTTCTCAATTCGGTTGTATTTTTTTATGTTTATTACCGCATAACTCCGTCAGTTATAAACCGATTTCGAAAATTATTTTTTTATCTGAAAGGATATATTTACAGATTGGTGTCATAGAAATTTTATTAAACTTAGTTCAGGACATAATTTTTAATAAAATATAATTTTTTATTATATATTAATAAGAACTGACAGCAAAGATAAAAAATTTACTATTCGCTTTTATAAAGAGTTCATATAGTTTTTTTTTTTTGGTTTATTTATAAAAGTATAGTAATTTCGTTAGAGGACTTTAGAATAAAAAAAAAAATATTAAGTAACTTACCAATTCTAGGGAGCACGTGAGCGGAATGTCTCAACATAGGCAACGCAATCGGGCCTGGTATATCATTGAATGGTTTTAGGTAATTGGCGACAGATGGCGCTGCGGCCGCTTTGTACCGGGGTGGTGATGTTGACGACCTTCGTGACGATGAGCTTATATGCCGCCTCGTGGTTGACGGGAATCTGTTAACAACGCAAATGAATAAGTTAAAGTTTATTTTTAGTTGACAATTCAAATATTAATGTAAGCTGTGTGTACATAAACTAAATCTGCCATACTCGTGAACGGGTGCTGCTTTTGGGCTCTGGTCTTTTTTTTTTATACAACTTAGAATGTGTGTGTGTGTGTGTGTGTGTGTGTGTGTGTGTGTGTGTGTGTGTGTGTGTGTGTGTGTGTGTGTGTGTGTGTGTGTGTGTGTGTGTGTGTGTGTGTGTGTGTGTGTGTGTGTGTGTGTGTGTGTGTGTGTGTGTGTGTGTGTGTGTGTGTGTGTGTGTGTGTGTGTGTGTGTGTGTGTGTGTGTGTGTGTGTGTGTGTGTGTGTGTGTGTGTGTGTGTGTGTGTGTGTGTGTGTGTGTGTGTGTGTGTGTGTGTGTGTGTGTGTGTGTGTGTGTGTGTGTGTGTGTGTGTGTGTGTGTGTGTGTGTGTGTGTGTGTGTGTGTGTGTGTGTGTGTGTGTGTGTGTGTGTGTGTGTGTGTGTGTGTGTGTGTGTGTGTGTGTGTGTGTGTGTGTGTGTGTGTGTGTGTGTGTGTGTGTGTGTGTGTGTGTGTGTGTGTGTGTGTGTGTGTGGTGTGTGTGTGTGTGTGTGTGTGTGTGTGTGTGTGTGTGTGTGTGTGTGTGTGTGTGTGTGTGTGTGTGTGTGTGTGTGTGTGTGTGTGTGTGTGTGTGTGTGTGTGTGTGTGTGTGTGTGTGTGTGTGTGTGTGTGTGTGTGGTGTGTGTGTGTGTGTGTGTGTGTGTGTGTGTGTGTGTGTGTGTGTGTGTGTGTGTGTGTGTGTGTGTGTGTGTGTGTGTGTGTGTGTGTGTGTGTGTGTGTGTGTGTGTGTGTGTGTGTGTGTGTGTGTGTGTGTGTGTGTGTGTGTGTGTGTGTGTGTGTGTGTGTGTGTGTGTGTGTGTGTGTGTGTGTGTGTGTGTGTGTGTGTGTGTGTGTGTGTGTGTGTGTGTGTGTGTGTGTGTGTGTGTGTGTGTGTGTGTGTGTGTGTGTGTGTGTGTGTGTGTGTGTGTGTGTGTGTGTGTGTGTGTGTGTGTGTGTGTGTGTGTGTGTGTGTGTGTGTGTGTGTGTGTGTGTGTGTGTGTGTGTGTGTGTGTGTGTGTGTGTGTGTGTGTGTGTGTGTGTGTGTGTGTGTGTGTGTGTGTGTGTGTGTGTGTGTGTGTGTGTGTGTGTGTGTGTGTGTGTGTGTGTGTGTGTGTGTGTGTGTGTGTGTGTGTGTGTGTGTGTGTGTGTGTGTGTGTGTGTGTGTGTGTGTGTGTGTGTGTGTGTGTGTGTGTGTGTGTGTGTGTGTGTGTGTGTGTGTGTGTGTGTGTGTGTGTGTGTGTGTGTGTGTGTGTGTGTGTGTGTGTGTGTGTGTGTGTGTGTGTGTGTGTGTGTGTGTGTGTGTGTGTGTGTGTGTGTGTGTGTGTGTGTGTGTGTGTGTGTGTGTGTGTGTGTGTGTGTGTGTGTGTGTGTGTGTGTGTGTGTGTGTGTGTGTGTGTGTGTGTGTGTGTGTGTGTGTGTGTGTGTGTGTGTGTGTGTGTGTGTGTGTGTGTGTGTGTGTGTGTGTGTGTGTGTGTGTGTGTGTGTGTGTGTGTGTGTGTGTGTGTGTGTGTGTGTGTGTGTGTGTGTGTGTGTGTGTGTGTGCAAACAATCTGACGGCCTACCTGATGGAAAGTGGTAACCGTCGCCTATAGACATGAACAGTACCATCATGTTTGCTTGTTTAATTTTCATTACATTATGTAAATATATAGAAATTAATATAGCACCCACGCAAATGTAAAATTATCTTGTATATAATAATTTGAAAAGAGTAACTGTTGAGTTTCTTGCGAGTTCTTCACAGCAGATAACAACATTCCGATCCCAGCGATAAAATCATAAAAAAATTACGATTTAAAAGAGCTTGTAAACAAATCTATATAAATAATCGAACAAAGATTATTCTATTCTAAAATTATTGTATTAATCTACTTAATTGGATGCTTTTTTGCATGCAACTTAGTAAACAAGGCAAGCAATCTGACGGCTTACTAGATAAAAAATGGTAGTTGTCGCCTACAGACAGGTATAGTATAGAAATGTTTTCTTGATGCTAATGTTTTTTTTTTCATTTACAATAGTAGTTAACTCTATATGACCACAGACCAAGGTAGACGATATTAACACTTCGATCTACATGTTTTTTTTAATGGAGGATAACAGAATGGTAACTCTGGTGCGCTAAGGGCATATACGAGTATACGCTGGCGGTGCACCAGTGAGGGACGATATGTGGGGATGAAAAGACAGGTCAATTAGCCCATCGTGATGGATCTAACACTCCCTCCTCCACTCCCCGATCTACAGGGTTAAGCCAATTCTATTTTTTTTATAACACAGGGTCAAACGGGCATACGGCTCACCTGATGGTAAGTGACTACCACCGTCCATGATTACTCGCAACACCAGAGGTATTGATGGTATACTGCTGGCTTTTAAAAAAAGAATATGCTTTTAATTTGAAGGTTATAACGTCGTATCGATTCGGAAATATTTATGAATAGAACTCCATAAAACCCAGCTGAAACCCAGTGATGATAACCATGAAACTAGCTGTAACTCGCCGTTCCGCTCATAAAAATCGGTAAATAAGGTATCCTATGTGCTAAGTTAGGATATAACCTACCCGTATACCAAATTTCATTCAAATTTTTGCATGAAAAAGTTACAAATATCCATCTATCCATCCATCGTTTTAAACTTTCGCATTTATTATATTAATAGGATAATACGTGTGAATAACTTTCTCTAAAGAGCACAGTCGATTAACATGCAAATTGCATATCTACTTAATACATTGTGATGTTAAGTAGAGCTATTTAAAATTACATCTGTGTATGCGAGAAATGTATCAGTTCTCGGGTTACAAGATATATCGATTAGACGATGACGCAGGTGTTTTAAGAAATTCTACGTATTCGATTATTAAAATATGATATGGGTGCATTAAAGTATGTACCTTTTACTTTGAAAAATGTCTACGTTAAATGATTCTTGGTAACGCCTGAAGGAGTTCGCCGAGATGGGATAATTGTTAATGTACTTTTTTTTCTGTTAAAATACATAACAAACAAGCATTATATGACTTACAATGCATATAAGTTCATGCCAATCTATATCTAAAAACAGTCTTAATAAAAGCAATGGAAGTCAAAATAATAATTTTGAGATTTTCATCTGACTGTATGTTTACTCTCACTTCATGCAAAAATCACTGCACCAACTTGAATTTGGTTTGCACAATTATGTTTCTAAAGGTTTAACTAAAAATCTGGTGTATGTTTTTTCTTCATCAACATCATCATATCAGCTATCAACTGTTCACCCCGTCCCTTTGGGGAGTTTTGCCAGTAGTTGCCACGCTTGGCAGGCGGGTTAGTATGGTTGATCTTGATATATCTAAATTGGGTACCTACTATTATCCATGCGTACGTAGAAGTTTGTACAAGTGTAAAATTATCCTTACTATTATTATGAATGTTAACGTGACTGTGTTTGTTACTTCTTTGCACCTAAATTGCTTAATTAGTCACTATATTTGGTTTTCTGGTACATAGGATGGAGAAGGAGATAGAGCAACATAGGCTACTTTTTATCTCGGTTTGCGTACATATTTCGGTCGTGTGGATGATGTCACGGGTAAAAGCTTATTGTTTAATAAATATACAGAATAAAAAAGATTAGGTCTTCAGAAAAAGGATATAATATTGTAATATTTAATGTATATAAGTTGTATTGTATATATAATATGTATAGTTAACAGTCCACTGCTGAATATAGTCTCCTCTATAAGAGAGGACTTTATCAGTAGTTGCCATGCTTGGCAAGCGGATTGGCAACCGCAGTTTGTCTTTTGGTGATGCTTTAAGAGGGACGTTGCTGCCCATCCCTCGCCCTCCCTTAGCCGCCTTTTACGATACCCAGGGAAAAGGAAGGGGTGGCTAGCTAATTTAAATGTATTGTATTTAAGAATATTTTATGTTTTCAAATTAGTATGTGCAAAAAGCAGTCAGCTTTCTAGCATACTGATATCTAAATATTAAATAGCATTATAAATTAATAAATAAATAAAATATCATACAAAAAAATATCCCACTTCATAGACGTATAACATAACTTACTCCACTCATATCTTGTCTTACAAATAGTCTTGTCTTAAACTGTACTTAAGATATTTATAGGACTTTAAATATAACGTAAAATTACAGTTAATCCGTACGTAGGCAGAAGAATACATCATAAAAATCAAAAATCACAAATACCTTAACCGGTTTACGAGACGTCAAGATCATGGCGACACAAAACAATTAGTCAGCGTACTGGTTTCGTTGATATAATACGATATCTGTCTAACTGTAAACATGTTTGTCATTGCATAGAACGATTATTTATATATATTAGTTATTTACTAATAAAAAAAAAAATAGTAAATACGCGTACTTTAATTGGCGTACGATAAACTAGGGATTTTAATTATAAAGTGTTTATGTTCAGATATTTAAGATATAAAAGTAATTTCTATTATTATTATGTTGTTGATGGCATTTTAATGTTATTCCTTTTAATTATAATTTTTTTTAGTGGGTAATAATGGAATGGCAACCCCACCCGCGCTATCGGTATACCCCGGCGGGGCACCAGTGAAGGGTGAGGATGAAGCAGGTCAGTTAGCCCATCGTGATAAATTCAACAAGAATTGTTCACGATAGTTTCCAGGGAGAACCACGTGGAGGTAGATCTAATAGGGCATATTGCTAGCAATGGGGCTGCCAAGCCCTATTGCCAACAATCCCTCTCCCCCCTTTTAATTATAATTGTAAGGTATGTGTTATTGTACTGATGCTTTCCTGGATGAGCGTAGAGCAAGACTTCCAGACTGTAAAGCTCACCCAGTTGATCAAATAAATAGATAAATTATAGTGAAATTCAAGGTATTACTAATGCGATGTCATT